TCTTGTAGGAAGTCAGCCTTGCAAGCTGAAGCAGGGGACCATTAAGGCAGCTGCACCTTGGTGCGACCATCAGAAAGCAAGAGACCCGAGAACTCAAAAGGCGAGGCTCACTGAGCCATTTATTCCTGCATTTCTGCCACTTCCACTCAACAAATAGATCCAGGTGGCCACCTAGCAAGCATTTCAGCCTGCTCACAGGCTCCCTTTAACATTCAGTCCCAGAGAGGAGTTTTCTTCATGGTTCCAGATTTTTTCCAGCTTCTGACAAAGACTACTGGTTCCTGAGAACTCCAAAGCACTGGGTGGGGCTTATATTCCTTTTTAAGCAGCTCTCTGAGGGTCCTTACAGCCCTGGGGTGGGTAGAGCAGAGCCAAGGAGAGTCGAGGGGTGTTGTGAGGAGGGACAGGCTCCACCGGGCTGTACAGGACAAGGCATCCAGGACCCTGGCATCTGGCCCATGCCGCAAGCTAAAGGTCACATTCGGTGGGTGGACACCAGGGGGCAGCAGCAGCAGCCCCAAGCTCCACAGCGCCCACATCTCAGCCACCATCTTTCCCAAGTGCCAGAAAACAGGGACCAGACCCTGGGATCCCTCCAACTACAGACATCCCTGACCAAGGGCCAGTCTGCTTCAGCTTGGGCAGGATGAGGCCCCTGGCCCCTCCACCAACAGGGGGGGGGGTACCCTGTTCTCTGTAGGTGAGTCTCAGGGAGCAGGGGGCCCTGGGATCAGGGTTGATTCTGATGGGAGGGTGGTGGTGGCAGGGGAGTGAGATGGATCTCATAGACCCTCACCAGGTGCAGACATGTCATGGCCACCACCTGGTCAAGGGGACCCAGGGGCAGAGGACATTGCATCCACAGAGAAGGTGCTGGTCCCACGAGGAGGGCCTGGGACCACAGGAAGAGTGCTGGGCCCATGGGGGAGGATGCTGGGTTGGTGGGATGGCTGGTCCACAGGGTGGGGGGGTGTCTGTGTCCACAACTGGCTGTGAGAGGTGGCGGCAGACTCCAGGCCTCGAGTCTGACTCCCGTGTCTGCACCTTCACTGGGAGATCTGTTTGGTGGTCATGGGAGCCTGTGCCCTCAGCTGGGCAAGCCCCCCACGGCCCCCCACCAAATTCCCCAAGCCATCAGTCTCAGCCCTCTCTGGTCCTGGGCGGGGGGTGGGGGGGGTGCTTTGAGCAGCTGGGTCATGGGTGGAGCCCCTTGCTTGTACCCTGACCTCTCTGTGACTAGGGGTGGGTGCTGTACTATGGACTCCCCTAGGCTCTCCTCAGTTTCCTATTCCAGGCCAGCATGCCCAGCTTTGAGGTGTGGGGAGCTCTTGCTGGAGCCACCCCTCCCCAGACCTGCCTCCAGTCTGGGCAGCTGGGGGTACCCCGAAGGAGGGCTATCTTTGTTGAGTCAGGGTGGCCTGAGGCCTCCAAGAGCCATAGAAAGGCTGGAGTCACAACCCTGGGCAGGTTTGGGACCCTTTCCCTGGAACCTCTTGTCGGGCAGACACACTGGGGTGGTCTGGGGTGCCAAGGAGCTCCTGGGAGGAACTTTGAGCGCAGGCTGTGACCTGGCACCCAGGGGCGCAGGGACCAACGGATCTGCTGATCCAGTCTTGGGTACCAGGCGGGCTAGATGTGAGCAGGCAGGTCCCACTAAAGAGGGCCGGAAGAGAACTTCATTTGCCCTGGGGCCAGGGCAGCGCGCGGATCCCGGCCTCAGCCCCTGGCCCTGCAGGTGGTGCCTGCAGTCTGGCGACCTGTTTTCACTCTCCGCACGCTCTGTGACCTGGGCCCGTATCCCTCTCCCGGGGCAGCGCTCCTGCCCAGCCCCACCTCCAGCGGCTTCGCTCCCCCTCGGGCCCCAGCGACCCCCGCCGCTGCGCTCGCGCCGCTCCCTCTGCGTGCCCGCCCGGCGCGCCACTGTGGCTCGCTCCCGCCGCAGCCTCCCTCCCGCGCCCGTGGGCCCGCCGCCCCGCCTGCGCCCCGCCCCGCCCCGCGTACCGCAGTGCCGTACTGCAGGGGCGCCGTGCATTGCGCTGCACCGTCAATAGGTGGACCCCCTCCCGGAGAGATAAAACCGCCGGCGCCTGCTTCGCCAGTCCCTCTGGCTCACACCACGGCTCCCGGTAAGGACGCTTGGCCTCACGGCCCCCGCCCGCGCCCTGGCCTCTCGCAGAGGGTCCCCTCTCCGGAGACTGGTCCCGGGGCAGACAGGAGCGGGGCCCGGGCGCCGCGCGGGGCTGCCATGCTTGCTGCGCGGTCAGCCGCCCCCCACCCAGCGCGAGCCACCTGGCACCTCGCTCAGGCCCCCGCGTGGCCCTGCCGGTGGCGGGGGAGGCACGGGCGCTTGTTGACTAGGTGGCTGGCGAGGACAAGGGCTGGTCTTTTGGGCGGCGGCTGTGTCCCCCTGCGTGACCTTGGGAACAATCAGGTCCTGCGGTGTCGGGGCCAGGGTCTCCAGTGGTGGGTGCCGCAGGGGTGGGTGCTGGAGTGTCATGGAAACGTAGTGGGGGAGGGGAGAGCGGTGAGCCAGGAACCTGGCCACCCTGCCCCCACCCTGCGGCCTCTGGACGCGTCCACGGTCCACAGGCATGATGCCCTGGTGCCTGCCATGCGCGCCTGTCCCCCTCCCCCATCCCTCTGCCCTCGGGGGTGGCTGCTGCTTCCCTCAGATTGCAGCACAGTGGGCAAGGGCAGGGCTGTGACCAGGTCCCCACCAGGGTTGAGAGGGCAGGCCAGACCCCAGCTTTCCTTGGCCCCAGCGCTGCATGCCCCTCCCCCACCCCAGCACCCGGAGTGGCGTTGGCACCTGCTGTCTGTTCTATACCTACCTAGGTGAAGAGGGACCCCCACCCCGCTGTTTGTCCCTGTCCAATCCAGTGGAGGAGGCTGTTTGGGAGCCTCTGATACCAGCACTGAGGGTCCTATTAGCCCTCAGGCCTAGTGGGCCTGCCCTCCCCTGCCAGCCACAGAACAGGATGGAGAGAAAGATGGCGCCATCACTATCACTGCCTCAGGAGGGGAGGGAGAGCACTGACCATATTCTCTGTTGGGGGGGCAGGGGCAGGCATGGGGGACAGGGCCTCTGAGAGCGTAGGGTGACTCATCACCCAGGCTCCTGGGTGACGCTGGGTCGGGCATGGGCTCACCCAGTCTGGCCTTCCCTGTCTCTACAGATGGGAGTGACCCTTGGTCACGAGGCTGCTGTCTGCAGGCCCCTATGCCCACACTTAGTAGGCTGGGCCACCCCGAGAGACCAGGCACAGGCCCTTCAGGGCACAGGTTATGGGCAGCGCCTGTGCCCTTTGTGAGCTGGGCCAGCCTCTTGACTGGGATCTCACCTGAGGCTCCATGTCCCCTGTACTCCAGCCCCATAGAAGCACCGGACCACAACCCCCCACCCCCTGGCAGAATGGGCAAGGAGAAGACCCACATCAACATCGTGGTCATTGGCCACGTGGACTCGGGCAAGTCCACCACCACCGGCCACCTCATCTACAAGTGTGGGGGCATCGACAAGAGGACCATTGAGAAGTTTGAGAAGGAGGCAGCCGAGGTGAGCTGGGGGCTCCTCTGCCACCTTCACCCTCATTTCCTCCAGGCTTGGCCTGTGAGGCTCCCAGAGACTTGAGGGGAGTCTGGGGAGGTACCCCATGGTGGGAGACTGGCCTGGTGCCAGGGTTTGCTCTCCACGGGGTGGGCAGAGGACTCTTGTCTGCTCACAGGCTGCACAGCCTGGAGCCTCTTCTCATGCCCTGGGACTGGGCTTCTGCCCCAGGGACAAGCAGGGCTGGAGGTGAGGCTCCCCCCCGCCCCCCTCTTGTCCAGTCTGGCTGCCAAGCTGCTATTAATAGCTGATTGATGGGCAGGCAGCCACCAGCTCCATTTCCTCCAGCAGGATTTGAGGGGGGGGGGCCTCGGCGGGGTCTTAGTTGCCCTGAGGAGAATGAGGGGCTGTCAGGTGTCGGGGCTGAAAGCCGTGGGTGGGAAGTGGCAGTGTGGTGGGATGTCTCCACTCCCTGCTGCTGACCTGAGCCCGAGGAGCCCGGGAGAAGTGCATTGGGGAGAATGCAGAGCCAGCCAAGGTGTCCGTCCTGGTGGGGCTGAGCCCCTGCCCACGTGGGAGACTCTGACAGCTCAAAGAGCTGCGCCACTCTGTCTAGTGGTCTCCCAGGGAGCAACAGAGGGTGTGTGGGGTGTCTGTTTGGGCCTGCTGGCCCCCGGGCTCCACTGGGCCACCCCTCTGGGTTGGGCAGCCTCCCTGCTGGCCGAGGCCTGGTCACACAAGGCAGGGAGTTGGCCCCAGCCTGGCTGTGGCGAAGCCTTGGACTTGGGAGACAGGAAGACGCCAAGCCCAGGTGTCTGCAGAGGGTCGGCCCAGTCTTGTGTCTGGGGAGACCCTTGGGAAACCCCTGATGAGGGTAGGGTAGGGTGGGGAGAGGAGCTTATAAACAATGGGAAATAAATAAATGGGAGGGGCCAGCTGACTGTAGAAAGAGACGGAACTCTGGCCCTTCCCATTTATTTCTTGTCCGTGTGTATAAGGCAGGTGGTTCTCTGACAGCAGGAGATGCCCTGTGGCTGGGGGTCCAAGCACCAAGAGAAGGTGTTCATTCCAGTGGTGGTCGCTGGCCCTCACGCCATCTACTGGTGGATGTAGGAAACTGAGAGGCTGACCAAACCTAGGGGCGCAGGGATGGTGGTCCTGGGCCAGTCGGGCGGGGACGCAGGGGCAGGATGGACCTGCAGCCTGTGCTACAGAAGCTGCCCCAGAGATGGGGCCCGTGTGTGGGAGCCCCATATTTTGGCTGGGGGGAACTAACCGCAGGCCGGGGCTGTTGGGCTGCACCCCTGCAGATGGGGAAGGGCTCCTTCAAGTACGCCTGGGTGCTGGACAAGCTGAAGGCAGAGCGTGAGCGCGGCATTACCATCGACATCTCCCTGTGGAAGTTCGAGACCACCAAGTACTACATCACCATCATCGATGCCCCGGGCCATCGGGACTTCATCAAGAACATGATCACCGGCACCTCCCAGGTGCGCGCACACGGGGCGGGCGTCAGGGCGGGACAGACAGACCTGATGATGGCAGAGCTGAGTCAGAGAGGCCATGGTGGGCCTCCTCACAGACAGATGGACACAGGCACCCTGACAGACACAAGGACATGGTCGCCTTCATGGACAGATGGACACATGCCAGGACAAGCAGACAGACCCAGTCAACTCACAGACACACAGAGAGACACATGGCCACAATTAACCTCAGCGGCACGGACACAGCAATCCTCAGAGCCAGACAAGACAGACCCACCTTCACAGACAGATGGACACAGTCACCCCACGGACACATGGACACGGTGACCCACAGACACACAGACATGGTCACTCCACAGACAGACAGCACACAGGGCCCAGCAGCAGGCGCCTGTTTCTAAGGGGTGCCGGGCTGGGCTCCCCAAGTGTTGGGCACTCCTCACACCCTGGAGCTCCTGCAGCTGGCAGTTGGGGCCATGGGACCAGGGGTGCAGGGCCCTGCCCAGGCCGCACAGCCCCCAGGATTGGAGCGGGTAGAGCTGCGGGGGGTGGGGTGGGGCTGGGGCGCGGCCAGGGCGCTGGCTGACCGTCGCCCTGCAGGCCGACTGTGCCGTGCTGATCGTGGCTGCGGGCGTCGGGGAGTTCGAGGCGGGCATCTCCAAGAACGGGCAGACCCGGGAGCACGCGCTGCTGGCCTACACGCTGGGCGTGAAGCAGCTCATCGTGGGCGTCAACAAGATGGACGCCACCGAGCCGCCCTACAGCGAGAAGCGCTACGACGAGATCGTCAGAGAGGTCAGCGCCTACATCAAGAAGATCGGCTACAACCCGGCCACCGTGCCCTTCGTGCCCATCTCCGGCTGGCACGGGGACAACATGCTGGAGCCCTCTCCCAACGTGAGTGCCCGGGGTAGCTGCCTGGCCGGCCGAGCGTAGGGCCCCAAACCAGCAGGCTTCTCTTTCCCACTAAACTCTGGCCCCCACCCACTGCCACGGGTTCCGGCTCACAGGGCGCCCGTACAGGATTTCCGAGGCAGACAGCCTTGCCGGTGGGTGAACCACCAGCCCTGGGGTTGGCACCCAGCATGTAACAACCACACCGGGAGGATGGAAACCAGTTCCATGGGCTCGGAGCCTTCTCGGGACCGGGCGGGGTGCTTTTGCTGGGTTTCTGAGGCCCTGCTCCACTCAGGCTGCTCCCAACTCTGGTCCTCTGGGCAGGCTGCAGGTGGGTAGTGGGGTCTGCTCCCTGGAGGTGGGAGTGGATCTGGGGCCAGGCTCCGGATGCCCCTCCTTGGCGGGCGGGGGGAGTGTGTGTGTGGAGGGCGGGTGAGCCTGTTGTGCTCTGCACTGGGGGCACCTGCGACACCTTAGTGCCTGC